ACATTGCTGTAGAAGCAAAATGTCAAAATGCTGTTCTACACAACTAAACGAGTCTGACATCCAGCTCCCGACTTTGACAGGACTATGCTTCTAAAAATACACAGCCATGGCTTTTTATTCGAGACCATACCTTAGGAAACCATTAACAGACATGAACAAGAAAAGGGTAAAACATTCAGGAGGCTCTTCCCTTTAAAACCCTAGTTTCTAGCCATTATCGTATTCTTGATTTGCTCCACTTCTCAAGCATAAACATACAAATCTGCTCCTGACAGCAGAGCCTAGCAGATGTTATTATTAGGGCTGCACAATATGTCATGGCAATTATTTGAAATATTTGCACTTAATATTTCACCATCTATAAAACAAAAGAGGAGATGAAACTTACCCGAAATTGAACCTGTTATTATCTACCAATAGATTGAGTCAAATAAGTTTCCAGTGCTGCCATGAGTTGTGCTAACAGACAGAAATCAGTCCCGACAAATGCGATGTTTACAGGTGTAAACATTTGTTCGGACGCCAGCTTTTCGGTACTATACGGACGTTTACTTACGCCCCACGATTAAATAAGCAGATTAGTAGTACGCATACAATATTGAGCGGCGCATTGTGATACCTAAAAGCTAATAAACTGTGAGTGTAAGTAAATACCGAAATGCTGGCGTCTAGACAAATTTTTACGCCTGTCAACTAAAGCCCTGGTGATTATTGCACATGCACACTTATTGTGATGTGACACCCTAGTATTGCTCGTCAGCGGAGGGGCCCACAGTGCTGGGGATTCCCCCTGCCTGAGAATGATGCACAGGGACAGGTTGGTCCTACCTGTTATCAGTTCTGTTTCCATCCCCAGGTTTGGAATAAGCCCCCTTACATATGAAGACCCACCATGAATGCAACCAGCTTCATATTCCTCAACAACATTCATTTTACACAACACTTGAGAGTGACGGCACTGAGGTGTACCGGACCCTGTGGGCTCTGGGTCATCCTGCCTCTAATAGTGGATCCTGCCTCCAACGCTCAGCTGTTTCTGTCACCGGGTACGTACTCCATATAGAGCGCCAGGTCAGTGGCCAGAATAGCCCTCTCGATCATCTTCAAGGTGGTTTTGTACTCATCTACAGAAAGGCCGCTCAGGATTTGGTTCCCCTGAAGGCAGGACATAGACAGACGGAGACAGACAGGGATAGATTAGTGTGATGTGTAACAAAAGACAATATACAATCAGTATAAGAAAATTACTATTCAGGAAGATGTTTGCTTTTGATGCAATTTAGTATTCTTGGATTTTTTTTACTGATAAAGCTCCCTTGAAGGTACATAAAGAGTCCAATTCACAGCAAGTGTTCAGTGGGATTGCACATCCAATACAGCTAAGATGCTACTCGGGGATTAAATGTAACACAGCTATAATGTTACTATCAGGGATTAAATGCTAACACAGCTATAATGTCACTGTCAGGGATTAAATGCTAACACAGCTATAATGTTACTGTCAGGGATTAAATGCTAACACAGCTATAATATTACTGTCAGAGATTAATTGCAACACAGCTGTGATGTAACTGTCAGGGATTAAATGCTAACACAGCTATAGTGTTACTGTCAGGGATTAAATGCTAACACAGTAATTATGCTACTGCCGAGTTGTCAACTCTCACACATCACATCTGGCGTGACACTCACACTTTCAGATTCTCACACTACTTCTACTTTCAGACTTCTCACACAAGAAATCTTATGGCAAATCATTATTATTCCATTATAAACCTAAAATTAGCTACATAAAAGTCATTGGGTAGTTTGCAAACCATACAAACTATTTAAGAAGTAATAAAATTGTTACATACATGTACATACGTGTGTATGTATGTGCACACTTGTCTCAAATCTCACTCCAGCCAGCTGCCCAATGTTGGCAGCCCTGCACTACTGTCAGGGATAAAACTGTAACAGGGCTGTGAGGGATTATACTGTAACGGGGCTGTGACATGGCTGTGATCAGTTACACTGTAACAGGGCTGTGACATGGCTGTGATCAGTTACACTTTAACAGTGGCTGTGAGGGATTACACTGTAACGGGGCTGTGATGTGGCTGTGAGGGATTACACTGTAACGGGGCTTTGACATGGCTGTGAGGGATTACACTGTAACGGGGCTGTGACGTGGCTGGGAGGGATTACACTGTAATGGGGCTGTGACGTGGCTGTGAGGGATTACACTGTAACGGGGCTGTGACGTGGCTGTGAGGGATTACACTGTAACGGGGCTGTGACGTGGCTGGGAGGGATTACACTGTAATGGGGCTGTGACGTGGCTGTGAGGGATTACACTGTAACGGGGCTGTGACATGACTGGAAGGGATTACACTGTAACGGGGCTGTGACATGACTGGGAGGGATTACACTGTAACGGGGCTGTGACATGGCTGGAAGGGATTATACTGTAACACTAACACATATGTAGGGCTTGTAATGTCCCTTATTTATGTTCATGTTTTGTGACAATAAATTGATTTAGATCAATTTAAAGGCACAAAGGTGAGTGCTTGGTTGGATGGATGGATGGATTGATGGATGGATGAAAGTCAATTTTATATATTGCCATTTAATATTATATAAATGTAATGACCTCTAAGTAAAATGTGTGACCTTTAATCCCATAAAAGGCTTCTGTAGGTCTCCAAAATCTAGATAAACAGTAATGGCACCCATCCCCTACCCTAAAGCACATATGTGACAGCAAAGGAAACGGGAAGGGCTCTGTCACCCAGACCGCTTGGGGGGAAAACAATGAATATCTAAAAAGGAAGAAATAAGCAGTATACTATTAAGGAACTGAACCGTGATAAAATAACAACCTGTCCATGCTGCTGGGCCCTCAAAGGTCGCACCAAAACATGCCCCTTGGGAAAAACTGGGAGCAATTAAATTATTATAAATGATTATCTATCAAACTACAGAAGATACAGGTGATGCTTAGCAAATGAATTATGTAATAAAGTGCAGCACCTCTACCCTTTAAACGGACGAGCCGAACAGCAGATGGAAGGATGGAAAGATGGAAGGAGATACATAATGAGTCGATTAGATAGGAGACTGACTTGCTAAACACTGTCTGTGATTCCACCTCTGCTGCCATCATGGCCGTCGAGCAAATAAAATGACACTTTACACAGGTGCAAACCCGCATATTGAGAAATGTGTGGAACTAAAATTTTTGCTGTGGTCTCTTATTTTTTTCCAGAGCTGTACAGTTTTGACATGTTTAAACCGCCAGGAATGATATACAGTCGAATCCGGTTAAGTGCGCGGCCTCCGGTCCAGACTACATCTTGCGCTTATCCGTATTGACCCACCCACGTGGTTATCAAGTGCACCCCCACCGTACCCGTCGCTACAAACCTGACGCTACAAGAACTACACACTGAATCTCAATCAGCAAAACATGTTCTGTACATACCGCAATGACGGCAAGCATGACAGTATAATATAGTCCAAGCACATAACACGTAATGTTCTGTTTAACGCTACGAAAAGTAGTCCTTAATCGTCTGTTTTTACGATTTAGTAACAGCCTTGCCTGTTCGGTTGCGTTTTCTGTCAGCGTTGGTGTTATTCTGCCATCTCTGGAGCAGCTGCTCTTTGTTTTTTAAGAATGCGTGAAATTTGGCTAGGATGAACGTCAAAATGCTTCGCGACTGCCGCCTGACTTTCTTTTCTGTGCAGTCGATTTAAACCGTCGATTCGTTCTGCAAGTGATAACGCTTTGGTCGTACGAGATGTCTCACTAAACTTTAATTAACTGTAGCCAAATTTGAGAGATTTTAGGCGTGCAGATATCCGAACTCAATATGCATTAGCCACATGCAGGCCGGGCCGAATGAGTGTGTGCACGTAAGCGGATCGTGCGCTTAACCGATGTCATTCGCCTATCTCTTGGCTGGACTAAAAACGGGACCGAAGACCGGTCGTGCAGTGAGGCGGATCGTGCACTTAACTGTACATACCAACACAGAGCATGTGAGGAACACACTCCTCTTACTTGCCAGCACACAGTTAGCTCGCTGGCTCACTAATCCAGCCGGCACCGAGTGTCCAGGCGCGGTGCCCATGGGGGTGTAGAAGGTTTGGGGGTGGTGGTGCATGAATGCAGACCCCAGCCGCCACTTACCGGGCTGTTGAGGATCATGAGGCACTGGTCAAAGTGGTGGTGCTCCATGGTGGAGTGGCAGTAGAGCTGAGCCAGTGGATGCTCACTCCTGACAGGGTTAGACACAGACACCATCAGGTAGCCACACAGCTAATGCTAACCTTCACACGCTTACACAAGCTCACATACAGCATGAGTTAAGTTCTCCCCAAGCGAGCTCGATGGGCCGAATGGCCTCCTCTCGTTTGTATAGTTCTTATGTTCTTATGTTCTTATCAGGCAAACACACACATATGCACACCATAAATAACATGATATACACTGTCAGGTATGCAAGTGGCTAATGCTGGAATTCATACACTTAATCCCCATAAACACGATCAGCCATGCAAGTATCTAATATACTAACACTCACATACATAAATAACTTCACATACACTAAAAGGGCACACAGTAGCGATATTGTTACATATTCGGACCTGTAGTAATTCCCACTATCACACATAATTCCATACTTCCATGAAATGTGTACCATACCAAGATGTGCTATAATTACCACACATACTTTCATTGACCCACAGTGCAATATTCACCCACTCCAGACTTACTAAATGTCTGCATCCTTACACAAACATACACTGTTCCTCAGTCTTGCCCCCAAAATAGACCCTTTGGAGCACAGAGTAGGACCAGGAGACAGCTTTCCATGGATCCACAGTAAGGACACCACCCAGATAATGAAGATGAGCAGTTCAGGGGCCTTTCCCACCTCTGGATGTAAGAGTTGTTGACCCCTCTGTGGTCAAGGTCATGGCTTAGGGTGGCGATCATCAGCGCCAGGATCTCTAGGTCACTCATCTTGCCCTGTGTACCAAAGAGGAGAAAGAGACACTAGAAACAGAGATAGAGTGATACAGGCAACATTATTCCAGTCTGTTAGATCATCTCCACAGGAATCTTAGCAGTTGACCCTGACCCGCTTCCTGCCGGCTTTGGCACTGACCCGCACCCTGACCCGCACCCTGACCCGCTTCCTGCCGGCTTTGGCACTGACCCGCACCCTGACCCGCACCCTGCCGGCTTTGGCACTGACCCGCA